TAATTTAAGTCACAAGGAATACAAGCCAGAAGTGGCGTGAAGGCTAACTGATATCTACTGGGTAGGGGAATGGCTCATCATTAACTATAATAAAAAGAATTTTTTTTTTTTTTTTTTTTTGAGATGGAGTCTCACACTGTCGGCCGGGCTGGAGTGCAATAGCATGATCTTGGCTCACTGCAACCTCCACCTCCTGGGTTCAAGCGATTCTTCTGCCTCAGCCTCCCAAGTAGCTGGGATTATATAGGCATCCACCACCACACCTGGCTAATTTTTTGTATTTTCAGTAGAGATAGAGTTTCACTATGTTGGCCAGGCTGGTTTGAACTCCCGACCTCAGGTGACCTGCCTGCCTTGGCCTCCCAAAGTGCTGGGATTACAGGCGTGAGCCACCATGTCCAGTCACTAAAAAGAATTTTTAAAAATGATATATTCAGGCCAGATGCGGTGGCTTACACCTGTAATCCCCGCACTTTGGGAGGCTGAGGCAGGGGATCACCTCAGGTCAGGAGTTCGAGACCAACCTGGCCACCATGGAGAAACCCTGTCGCTACTAAAAATACAAAAACTAGCTGGGTGTGGTGGTGCGTGCCTGTAATCTCAGTTACTCGGGAGGCTGAGATAGGAGAATCGCTTGAACCCTGGAGGCGGAGGTTGCAGTAAGCTGAGATTGTTTCACTGCACTCCAGCCTGGGTGATAGAGCAAGACACCCATCTCAAAAAAAAAAAAAAAAAAAAAAAAGACATCTTCTATCCTTGCCCATCACAGTCTAATTAATCTCAATAGAACAGCCAGGCAATCTTTTTGAAGTGTAAAGTCAGATCATGTTGTAAACCAAAAATAAAATTTGAAGGCCCCACAACAATTTGAATGGACCCTCACCCAGCCAGGGAGCTCTAAAATTTAACCTGAAGGACTGGTTCAGGCTCCATGAACACTGACTTCCTTGCTCTCTGTGTCACAGCCATTTGAACCAGAGCAACTCCATCTTGACTAAGGGCTGGGTTAAAATAAGGCGGAGACCTACTGGGCTGCATTCCCAGGATGCTGGGCATTCTGAGTCACAGGATGACATAGGAGATTGGCACCAGATACAGGTCGCAAAGACTCTGCTGGTGACACAGAGTGCCATAAAGAAACCAGCCAAAACCCACCCAAACCAAGATGGCATGAAAGTCACCTCTGGTAGGCCAGGTGCAGTGGCTCACACCTGTAATTCCCACATTTTGGGAGGCTGAGACAGGTGGGTCACCTGAGGTCAGGATCTCAAGACCAGCCTGGCCAACATGGTGGAACCCTGTCTCTACTAAAAAATATAAAAAATTAGCTGGGTGTGGTGGCACGCGCCTGCAATCCCAGCTACTTGGGAGGCTGAGGCAGGAGCATCGCTTGAATCTGGGAGGTAGAGGTTGTAGTGAGCCAAGATAGTGCCATTGCACTCCAGCCTGGGCAACACAGCAAGACTCCATCTAAAAAAAAAATAAAAAATAAAAAAATAAAAAAGTGACCTCTCGTCATCCTCACTGCTCATTATATGGTAATTATAATTCATCAGCATGCTAAAAGACACTTCCACCAGCACCATGACAGTTTAGATGCCATGGCCATGCCCGTAGGTTACCCTATATGGTCTAAAAAGGAAATGAACCCTCAGCTCCAGGAAATCACCCCTTTCCCAGAAAACTCATGAAAAAATCCACCCTTTGTTTAGCATATAATCAAGAAATAACTGTATTATCAGTCGAGCAGCCCATGCCGCTGCTCTGCCTGTGCAGTAGCCATTCTTTTGCTTCTTTACTTCTCTAATAAACTTGCTTTCAGTTTACTCTATGGACTCACCCCAAATTCTTTCTTGTGTGAGTTCCAAGAATCTTCTCTTGAGGTCTGGATCGGGACACCTTTCCGGTAACATCTGCTCAAATGTCACTTTTTCAGGAAGGCCTTCCCTGGTTACGCTGGTTTAAAGTCTCCATTCTCTTCTTCCCCTGCTTTGTGTTTTTCTACTGGACATACTATATGTTGTATTTCGTGTCTGTCTTTCCCCAGCAGCAAGTAATCCAGGAAGTCTGGGCATTGTCTTTTTTCCACTGTTGCATCCCTAGTGTCCAGTCTGGCTGAGAGTTGGTGCTCAGTAAGTATTTGTGACATGAATGTGTATCACTAAAATCTAACGTCTGCTAATTAACTCCACAGGGCAAGTTAACTCATTTGCTAGCCTAGGAATGCATTTTGCAGCTCACTTATTCAGGCTGGTGCTCCCAGAAGCCACGCTGCTCAGAACCCAGATAGCCCATGGCAGCATCTGAGAGAGAATCCTGTGATGTCACAGAAGACCGACTGTCCTTGCTTTAAAATCTCCCAAGCCAACACTTCTTTCCGCCATGCTTTATGGCAAGGCTTGTGGCACGTCTAAAAAACATTTTTTTTTTTGTTTTTCCACATTGGAGTAATTCCTAAGCAGCTCTGAGAAAAGTGTAACTTTGCCTTCGGACCACGTGACAGTGAGAACCCTTGCATCGAGGGGAGCACTGTTAGATGCTCCGGTTTGTGGAACAGGCCATCAGTCCCAGCTCTTGCTCATGTGGCTTCTTAACCCTAAAGATGAGCTCTCAGTCAACACCACAGGAGCTACTGATATAATTGGGATAGTTGACTCCTCCAAATTAGGCATCGAAATCTGATTCTCAATATTGGAGGTGGGGCTTGATGGGAGGTGTCTGGGTCACCCAGAAAGATCTCTCATGACCTGCTTGCTGCCCTCCTTGAGGTAATGAGTGAATTCTCACTCTATTAGCTCTGCCAGATCGGTTTGTTAAAAAGAGCCCAGCACCTCCCTCCCTTCTCTCTCTTTCTGTCTCTTCCAAGGTGACACACAGGCTCTCCTCTGCCTTACACAACGATTAGAAGCTTCCGAAAGCCCTCCCCAGAAGCACATGCCAGCACATGTGCCGCAGTACAGCCTGCAGACCCATGGGCCAAATAAACCTCTTTTCTTTTTTCGTTTATTTTTTTGAGACGGAGTTTTGCTCTTGTTGCCCAGGCTGGAGTGCAATGGCACAATCTCAGCTCACTGCAACGTCCGTCTCGCAGGTTCAAGCAATTCTCCTGACTCAGCCTCTCAGTAGCTGGGATTAGAGGCACGCGCCACCACACCTGGCTAATTTTGTATTTTTAGTAGAGACGGGGTTTCACCATGTTGGTCAGGCTGGTCTCGAACTCCCGTGATCTGCCCACCTCTGCCTCCCAAAGGGCTGGGATTACAGGCATGAGCCACCATGCCCGGCCTCTTTTCTTTATAAATTACCCAGTCTCAGATATTCCTTTACAGCAACGAAACAGACTACCACAGACTCTCCATGTCCTCAGCAGGAGCACCTCGAAGAAGCGACTTGCAGACAGGTTCCTAGAACACATTCAGCACTCCTTTAATATTTGAATCCTGTCTTTGGATCCACCGGCACCAGCGGAAACTGAACACACAGATCAATCTGCAAAGCTCCTCAGCAAACGGCTTCACAACGTCATGTGTTAATGTTTTGCCTTGAGAGTTCACTGAAGATTCTTCTAAAAATCATTTGAAAGTAAAGCCATGCTCAAGAAACTTGTTTAGGAATTAATTCAAAGATTATTTCCTTTGAGGAATGGCTATTTTCCCACTTTGGGATAAAAATTACATTCCAGAGTGAGGTTTTCATTTCTTCTCTCCCTGTCAGGAAATCTAGAGCAAAATCACCACCACCTTCTCCAGCTCTCTGTGTCAGAGACGTCTGAACCAGAGCAACTCCATCTTGAGTAGGGGTTCGGTAAAATAAGGCTGAGACCTATTGGGCTGCATTCCCAGGAGGTCAGGCATTCTCCCATTCAAGTACTAACCAGGCCCGACCCTGCTTAGTTTGGTTAACAACGTTAACCCTTATGGATGACATATCTGGAACATCTGAATTCTTCTCCCCGCCCCTCAACCCTGTGTTTCTGATTTTCTATTTTTCATATATCATTTCACTGCAGTGGTTTCTCGTAAGTTGCCTCAAAGCCACTATGGAGACAGAATATAAATAAACATAAAGTAACTGTCTCCATTAAGAGTCAACATCAATGAATGATTTCAGCCTGTTTCTAAACAATGGCTTTTAGGTTTACTCCAGCAGGAGACATTTTGAAGGCATGTTAGGAAGAACATCAGAATGCACCACCAAATGGAACAATGAATCTCCCCTGGAAATTTCAAAGAAAAGGCTCAGGCTCCCTTCCCAAGGTGGGGTAAGTGCTGGATGGAGAGAGAGAAGGTCAGATGACTGAAGAAGGTTCTTTACATCTGCGACTCCATGGTATCACTTGAAGATACCAACTATTCCAATATAATAGAAAATAATTTAAAGATCCTCAGCCAGACCACACACTCATCTGGGATTTGCTACCATCACTCAGACCAGTGAGATGGACTTCAAAAGCATCGCAGGTCAGAACAGAGACCAGTATGACTTGTACCCCCATCAGCTGCTGTACGCCTGCACACAGGAGAGCCCCAATCACATGCCAAGGGCTTCCAGACATACATCAGTCATTCTTTCTAACTACCCAGCTGCTAAGTCTCCAAAGAGAACTTTACCTGATACAAATAATCATCTAGTCAGAATTCCTGTTCTTCAGAAATGATCCTAGTTTGCACGTTTTAGGCAAATGAAAAATAATGCATAATACTTCTATTCAATAATTTCATCTGACTTTCTTCATATCTATCATCTTGCTTGTCTTCATGATCCCCAGTCCATGCCACCCCTAGAAGGTGGCATGATGACGTTAGAGGCAGAGACTAAGATCCTGGCGACCCATGTGCTTTCCCCAGTGGAAATGTCAGAGCTATCTCAGAGCTCACCAGCCCTGGGGTCCTTCCACAGGGGCACATGACCAATATGTGAGGGTGGTCACGTGCACTTCTACACACATGACCATCTACATTTTGGCTAGATGACTAAAGGAATGGCATCTTTGCTCTTACCCTTTCCTATATGTCTCCTGGTATTTTCTATCGTTGAGTTTCTGTTTACATTAGAAAGAAGTCCAAGACAGAATCTGTTCCTGTTATTTGAAGGGTCGGTGAACCCATCTATGAGCACACTTCGGGAGGAAGCCTGGAACGTCTCCCCAACTCGGTTGTTCAGTTCGTAGTAGGCGACCGAGCACCAGTGCTGGGGTTCCTCGTAACAAACTGGCCGAAAGTCTGGAAGAAAACACACCAGAGAGCACATGGCGACTGTCATACCTGGGCTGTGTAGTTCATGATTCCACCAGGAAACTTAGTTAATGCTTTTCACCAGAAAGTCGGCTGCAAGACCGCGCATGCCATTCTGTAATCTTTTAGAACTTGTAGCTCTCATGGGAGCTGCTTGGGGCTGGCTCATTTCACTAGCACACCTGAGATGTAGAGTCCACGGTCCTTGTGCATCTTCCATGGCTAGAGCATTTATAAACATGTGTATTGGTCATGAAGAGACCAGGGAAAACATGACATGAACAGATGAACATAAAAAATCTGTCGGCCCTAAAGCAAGCACAGCTCAAAGGAAGCTAGCAGGTCACCTCTTCTTTCAGAAACATGTGAAAGATGGCATGCTGCTGTTACTGTGCCCACTTGAAACCTTGTGGCAAAAACTACCATTTTCTAACAAACTAGAGATGGAAAATAATAGTTTGACTATGATAAAGAGCAAATCAATAATGCTGAATAGGACATTAAATTATTTAAGGAAAAAAAAGCTTCCACATAGAGGGGCTCACATTCTGCTTTGTGGATATCTACTTATGCACGGAAAAAAAAACACATTTAAAGAGAGCTGGATGTTTCATCAGGAAACCCATGAATGTTTTCACACCCAACATAAAGTGAAGTCACTTTTCTGTAACCAAAGCTCAGAGTTCCTTTTCTTTGCCACCCACACCCTTTCTCTGCCTTTCTATTGATTATATTATCTTTGTCTTCCTTGAACATCCTTGTCATTCTTGCATCTAAAGTGTGTTCCTATATGCACTAAATATAAATTTATGAAATAGATACATTCGGGGGTTGTTACTTCTCTCACAAAAGGATCTTAGTTTATAAAATATTCACTTGGAGTATTTCAAATGGTACACTTCTTTAGAACCTCTCTACTCAAGATCTGGCTCATGGAACAGTAGCCTCTGCATTACATGGGAGCTTAACAATGCAGATTCTTGGACCCCACCCTAAGATCTACAGAATCAAAATCTGCATTTATGCAAGATCACACGTGGTTTATGCAAACATTAAAGTCAAGCAACACTTATCTAGGCTATTATAAGATGCAAATAAAATTTTGTAAAAACCTCATTTATGTATATTTCTAAGAATACCTCTCCGGCCGAATGAAAGACACCACTATAAACATACGGTAAAAACACAAATAGAATAAAATCCCTAACTTCTTGAGTTCCCAACTCCATACTTAACATCAAGAACTACAAACTTCTAAATGCTAAGTTAAAATAAAAATTAACTTATTCTAGTAATGAGGATGATAAAACATTAATTCTATGGTACCGAGGAATGTCAAAGTTAAAATGCAAAGCCATCCCATTTGCCTCTTAAAACACATGCAAACCAGCAGGCCAGTACATTTCTGGTTCTGTTTTTTGAATTGCTTTGTTTGGGGGTAATAGGAAATACTTTTGGAAAATAGCTACATTTCACTGTTCATCTACAATTTACCTCCATTTGGTATCGATAGCACTAAATGTCTATCAGCTGTGGCATCTACAGGTTGGCCACTCTGGGTCTCAGAGGCTTCTGTGGCATGATAAGGCAGGGGTGGTGTGTCAACTAAAAGAAAGCAGTAGAACAAAGGAATTGTCAAATCGATAAACCACACAAAGACAGTTGGATCCGACATCTCTTGCCATTAAACTCCTGAGCTTGGTGGACAGTGCTACTCCTACGGAGAGACCATATGAATGTAACAAGGCTCTTCTGAAGTGGCACTGTGAGTGCTCTACAGAAGAAACTGGTTGTTCCGAGAGCCTCACTAAAGGGTCAATTCCTTTTCCCTCTGACTTCTGAGTTATCACTGAGTTCTAATGACGTCAGGGCAAGACTTTCAAATGCAGGACCTGTTCTCCTAGCTTTTCTCATAGCAGAACAGTCTGTGATCCAGCTTCCAAAACACAGAGAAAGCTAAACCTTCTTTGAAGTGAGCTTAATTTTCAGCTTCTATGTTGTCATGAATTGTACAATGGCCACGGGGACGCTCTATCCCTGAGATACTTCAGGATATGCCCCCAAAACACAGAAAAGCTGAAATATAATTGTAACCTTGTAACCAAGGCACACTGAGAAGGGCCCTTCTACCCAAATGTCAGTTCTGTGACTGGACAGTGATCATGGTTAGGCAAATGGGATGCATTCCATGGAAAACAATTCATGACACAGTAAAAATTCATGAGGCACAGGGAAAACTCTTTATGGAGGGCCTCAGCACAAAACAACCGATTCCTTCAGCAGGCATGTCTAATGTTAGTTCAGAATGGTCTTGTTACACCCGTGGTGGAATACAACAGCATAAAAGGTTGGATCAATCTGCCTTTGTTGTATCTAACTGTCCACACAAGTAGTTCTCACACTTAAGTGTACAAAAAAATTGCCAGTAGAGCTTGCTAAAAATGCAGATTCTCAGCCCCATCCTTAGCAATTCTGATTCAATAGGTCAGTGGTTGAATGTAGCCATGTACATTTTAACATGCCCCGATGGCAAGTCTAATGCAGGGTTCATGGACCATACTAGGAAACCATGGATAAGGTATTTCCTTCTGAGAAAATGGACTATGACTCCTGTGACTCTGGTAAAAAAGTTATAAGGCAAGATGGTCTTTTTGTAGGTCTTTGACTAAATACGTCTATTTACTCAAGGGGCAGAACAGGCTGAGCACAGTGGCTCACACCTGTAATCTTAGCATTTTGGGAGACTGAAGTGGGAGGATCACCTGAGTCCAGCGCTTTGAGACGAGCCTGGGCAACATGATGAGATCCCATCCTACAAAAAAAATTAAAAATTAGGTGGGCATGGTGGTGTGCACCTGTAATCCTAGCTACTCAGAGGCTGAGGGAGGAGGATCACCTGAACCCAAGAGTTTGAAGTTACAGTGAGCTATGACTGTGCCACCATACTCCAGCCTGGGTAACAACAAGACCCTGTCTCTAAAAAATTAAAATTAAAAAAAGGGGGACTGAAAATAGAATTACCATATAATGTAGCACTTCCACTCCTAGGTATATACCGGAAGGAATTGAAAGCAGTGTGTTATTTACTAGAGCCAAAAGGTGGGAACAATCCGAATATCCAACAGCTAATGAACTGATTTTTTAAAATGTGGTACAGCCATACAATGAGACATCACTCAGTCAGAAAGATGAACTACTGATACATGCTACAACACAAACTGTGAAAACACTTGCCTAAGTGAAATCAGACAGACACAAAGGGGCAAATATTGTATGAATCTAGTATATGAGGTACCTGCAATAGGCAAATTCAGTGAGACAGGAAGTAAATTAGAGCTTACCAGGGGCTAGGGAAGTAGGGAAATGGGGAGCTATTGCTTAATCAGTATGGAGTTTCTGTTTGGGGTGATGAAAAATTTTTGAAAACAGATATGGTGATGGTTGCACAATATTATTAATGCACCTAATGCCATCAGATTGTACTTTTTTTTTTAAATAGCCTCACCCAGGCTAGAGTGCAGTGGCACAATCTCAGCTCACTGCAGCCTCCAACTCCGGGATTCAAGTGATTCTCATGCCTCAGTCTCCTGAGCAGCTGGAATTACAGAGGTGCACCACCACGCCTAGCTAACTTTTGTATTTTTAGTAGAGATAGGGTTTCAACATGGGTTGGCGAGGCTGGTCTCGAACTGCTGACCTCAAGTGAACCGCCTGCCTAAGCCTCCCAAAGTGCTGGGATTACAGGCATGAGCCACACTGCACCCGGCCAGATTTTACTCTTAAAAAACGGTTAAAATGGGCTGGGCGCAGTGGAGCACACCTGTAATCCCAGCACTTTGGGAGGCCAAGGCGGGTGGATCACCTGAGGTCAGGAGTTCATGACCAGCCTAACATGGTGAAATCCCATCTCCACTAAATACAAAAAAATTAGCCAGGTGTGGTGGCGCATGCCTGTAATCCGAGGTACTTGGAAGGCTGAGACAGGAGAATCGCTTGTACCTGGGAGGCAGAGGTTGCAGTGAGCCGAGATTGCGCCACTGCACTCCAGCCTGGGCAACAAGAGCAAAACTCCATCTCAAAAAAAAAAAAAAAAAAAAAGTTAAATAAATTTTGTGTTTATCTATTTCACCACTACTTGAAAAAAATTAACATATGAAAAGCCATTGACTTGTACACTTGAAATGGGTGGTTGTATGGTATGTGAATTATACCTCAATAGAGCTTTTTAAAAAATCTAGAGGCTGAACCAGTAAATCGCCAAGGTTCCTTTTACGCTTGTTTATCTGTGGGTCTGTTACTCAGGTTGGCATTTTGGTGTTAATCATTCAGACAAGAATTATTTTCTTTGAAGTGAAAAGGGCTATGCCTTCGGTGAGAAACTAACCAGCTTCTGCATCATTGCTGGGGTCTGTCCTGCGTGGGTGGGAAGAGGAAAAAGAACATCAACCTGTCAGAGTAATCAGGGCAGGAATTCAAAGTCAGCACAGGAAGTCTTTGTAGCATAGAGGTGTGTTAGGTAAATATATATTTTGCAATACAATTATCCTCCTGTTCCTTAGCCAAGGCTCTGTCCTCAAATGACTTCTCTTTCTGTTGTATTTCTTCTTTCTCAGTGAACTCAGCCACTTGCAAAACTTCAACCACCTGCTCCCACACTGAGTGAATGACTCTCAAGCTACCCTCCAGCATCTCTGCCTTCACCCTACAGTAAGTCCTGCTGGACCCCCTCCTCCAATTCACTGCCCTCTTTCCAACCCCACATCCCTGTTTTAGTTCAAGTCCTTATAATCACTTGCCTGGACTGCTACAGGCTACCTATACGTGATGGCTCTCAACAGCTACTGCCTCCTGAAGGCCAGAGACCACAGTAGTCCTCCTTCTCCACCAGAGATACAGTCTGAGACCCCCAGGGGATACCTGAAGTTGTGGCTAGTACAGAGTACCACATATACTATGATTTTTTCCTATACATACCTGTGATAAAGTTTAATTTATTAAACACAGTAAGAGATTAGGAACAGTAACTAATAATAAAGTAAAACTATTAGAACAATATGCCAGCATCACTACTCTTGTACTTTGTGGTCACTATTAAATCAGAGTGACCTGAACACAAGCACTGCAATGCCTCAACAGCTGATCTGATCACAGAGACAGCTACTAATTGACTCACAGGTGGATAGCGTCTTCCACATGGATACGCTGGGCAAAGGGATGATTCAGAACCTGGACAGGATGGCACAAAGTTTCATCCCCACATGCAATTTAAAATTTATGAATTGTTTATTTCTGGAATTTTCCATTCAGTATTTTCAGGCTGCAACTGACCTCAGGTAACTGAAACCTCATATAAGAGGGGACAACTACATTGTCTTGATCATCACTGCACCTCTAGCACTGGCCCAGTGCCAGGCACTTCGCAGGTGCTCAGTCATCACTTACTGAGTCAATAAAACCTGTGCCTATGGTCTGAAGCTCCACGTCCATGTTCTAATGCCTGTGTGGGCCGGGTGTAGTGGCTCATGCCTGTAACCCCAGCACTTTGGGAGGCCGAGACAGGCAAATCACCTGAGGTCAGGAGTTCGAGACCAGCCTGGCCAACATGGTGGCCATCTCTACTAAAAATGCAAAAATTAGTTGGGCATGGTGGTGCCGCTCGTGTAATCCCAGCTACTAGGGAGACTGAGATGGGAGAATTGCTTGAACCTGCGAGGTGGAGACTGCAGTGAGCCAGGATCATGCCACTGCACTCCAACCTGGGTGACAGAGCAAGACCCCATTTCAAAAATAAATAAATAAATAAAAATAAATAAACACCTGTGTAGTAATTTATTTATTCAATAATCAACTGATGAGCAACCACTGCATTTCAGGCTCTGTGCTGGACATAGAAAAAAGAAGGCTCACTGTTTAATGGGGGAAATAGACACACAGGAATTATATAATACAGTGCAATAAATGTAATAGTAGATGCTTATGTAACTTGCTGAGGGGCAAAAGGAACTAAGTAACTCAGAGGGGAAGAAGCAATTCCCTCTTTATCTTCCCACATTGTATAAGCTCTGTGAGGACAGGCACAATTTTTATTAACCTTTTATTCCCCTTTCAGCAATCCTAAGGCAATACTTGCATATAGTAAGAGTTTAATAAATATCCATTAACTAAATGATTGCAGGAATAAATGAATGAGGCAGACTGTAACCACTGGCACCAAATGTATTTATGCATGCCTTTAGGAACTTGCCAGCTCCGCGTAGTATTTATCTCACACTCATGAGGTGCGTATGTATCTTTTATTCCTTATCTCAACTTAGATTCACTTTACAGGTACGGTAGCAAATGCAATTATGACAGCATGCTAGAGGCTCCCTTTCCCTTCCATAGGCTTTCTCAATTCAGCAAACTGAAGAGCTCTGTAGTTAAGCTCTTCACATGGCTTCACATGCAGAAAGGGAGAATGCACTGGCTGGAGCGGGGGCTGCACTTTCCGCCTCACTCAAAGGATGCAGGCATATGTTTTAGGCAAAGGCTTCCTTTGACTGTTGAAAGAGGCAACCAAGGTGAAGGCCTAGCATTGACCTTCCATGTTGCTTGTCCTCAGGCCAAGTCTTCTGCTTGGATTACAGGAGTCTTTTAATCTTATTTCTACTGCCTTAAAAAAAAAATCCTTGGAAATTCCCAGGGATACTATTCAAATCCATTTAGTTTCTGAGAGCTTCCAGAGCATTAGAACTAAAACTAGAGCAAAAACATGTTATATCTCCAGGGTAACTGCTTCAAAACGGGTATAGTCCTAATCATTTTAAGGCTGATTGCTTTGTCAACGGTTTACACTACATGAATGAGAGTTACAATGACTGTCATTGTGACTGTTCATCACAAATCATCATGTTGGGCTTATTTTCCCATATTTCCCCACAGACCATAGTTCTTACTGACCTGAGTGTTGATAGGGACTCTCTGGCTCAGAAGGACTTCCTGGGGAGTGAGAGTAGCTGGCCGTGCACGGGGACTGGGAGAACGCGTGGCTGGGTGAGGGAGGGAGTGCAGAGCACGGAGGCTGCTGGAAAGAGTCGGGATAGGTGGCGTTGTGTGGCATGAGTGGCTCACTGTGCAGGGAGGCGCTGCGGAACTTGGCCAGGAGGCTGAGCTGGGGGTTATATTCACTGTGTCTTGGCACGAGCACAGGAGGCAGCACTAGGATCAGAAAGGAACAGGGCAGTTAGAATTGAATACTGCTCATCAGTACACAACAGAGCGGATACTTGCTGTTCTTATCTATTTTTTTGATGATAGAGCTGTTTTTCCCCTTGGGAACTACTCCCATTAGTCATTGTGCTCATCATAAAACTGTCGATTCAGTCCCCATCTCCACCTAAGAAGCGAGCATGTGAGTAAGCTAAGGTAACAGTCTTCTCCTTGTAACCTGAATCTTATAGCAGAATGTCAATCGTTTCACAAAAAATATTTGCAGAAGGATCTTCTAGTGTCAGCACTCTAAAGAGACCTGCTATTTATTCCTATCTTGGAAATGACCAGAGCTGCCCTAATACCTGTGCGTTCTGGCGACCTGATGGTTACATCTTTCTTTAATTCTGCCAAATGAGTCTTTTTCCCCCAAGCAGAATCCGTTTCTGTTGCTTGCAATGAAACCCTAAGTGGATGCGCCAGAATATTTTTCCTCCCAGAGATCATGTTGAATTATTTAGATGACCAGCACACAATTTCAGGTTCAGTAGTGCTGCTGAAATAAAAACATTCTATGCGTCCTTAATGGAAAGATTTCAAGGTGAGTATTGAAAAGCTTATTAAGTAAATACAAACGGTAGAATAATAAAAAAGGACTAAGTAAAAGGATAAGGCAGCAGCAGGGCACAGTGGGCTCTACGCCTGTAATCCCAGCACTTTTGTGGAGCCGGAAGGCGGCCCAGATTCACCTGGAGGTCAGAGAGTTTGGAGGACAGCCTGGCCAACACGGTGAAAGCCTCGTCTCTATTAAAATACAACATTTAGTCGGGGTTGGTGGAGGGAACTTGTAATTCCACAGCTATCAGGGGCAGGCTTGAGGGCAGGAGAAAATCGCTGAATCTGGGAGGTAGAAGTTGCCAGTGAGGCCGAAGATCATATCATTGGCACTCCAGCCTGGGTGACAAGATGAAACTCTGTCTCAAAAAAAAAAAAAAAAAAAAGGTAAGTAGCGAGTAAGAAAACATAAAATGATGTTTGTTTATTTTAACGCTGATGCGGTTTTTGGATTTGATTTTTTAAAATGTTACGGTTCTTGATTTTGATTCTATACAAAATTTCAGAATAAATTCAAATTCTTAAGGGAAAGTTTTGCCTAGGCCCTCACGTCCCACCGACTCCTAGAAGGTTACAATGCCTGGCATAAAGTAGCTACTCCAAAAATGTTGTTGGAGAGCCATCTGCAACCAACATAAGTTCCAGACAGAGAGGCAAAGAAAACACAAGGGGGAAGCGGCCTAAGAAATAACAAAGGAAAACTTCAAAGAGTTACGAAGGACCTATGTCTTCATATTGAAAAGAGCCACAGAGTGCGCTGAGCTCAATTAATGAAAATAAGATCCCGACCTAGTCTTTCCATCTTGAATTTCAAACATTGCGGGATAACTGGAATATTCCAGAAGCTCCTAGAGGATCACCACAAAGTCACCTACAAAGAAATGAGAATCAACCGACCTCAACGTCCCACTTCTACCCTGGCTATTAGAAGTCAACGGACCAACGCCCTTCTGAGGACAAATAATTCTTATCCCCAAATTCCACAATGGAAACCACTGGAATAACCAAAAACAAATACAAACTATGAACTAAACTACAGAAAGCTTATTTTCCCATATTTCCCCACAGACCATAGTTCTTACTGACCTGAGTGTTGATAGGGACTCTCTGGCTCAGAAGGACTTCCTGGGGAGTGAGTGTAGCTGGCCGTGCACGGGGACTGGGAGAACGCGTGGCTGGGTGAGGGAGGGAGTGCAGAGCACGGAG